GCCGGCCGCAAAACATAACTTTTTTGCAAACTTCTGACTTTATTAAAACCGATATTTGATCCTAAACAACTCGATATAAAAGATTAGCTCATCAAAATTGTGTTTTCAACCCGATGTATTGAATGATAATTGAAATCCTTGACATATAAGATGAAATTTTCATTTTAAACACGAGATTGCCACTCCCAACTTAAGAGTCGAATTCCAGTTACTTCTCTTGTAGAAAGTGATATGAAAAATTGTTGTTATAGAACAAATAAAGCCCATGAAATCCTGAATTATAAAGTTACGGCATTAAACCGGGAATTCGGAGAAGTGCGTTTTCTGATAAGTTGGATTGTGAATTAATGATGTAATGCGTTCAGCCGTAAAAATAATGCATTTACGCATCCATTGCGCCACAAATTTCTTTCACTCTTTTCTGCACAAAAACAAAACAAGATATATACTTAAACATATAATTATTAGTTATACCGAATAAATTTAAAATCAGCAAACCATAACATGAAACATTTTTGAAATGTTGAAATAAATTTTTTAGACGGATTTGTTATACTATTTCAACAATGTTTAACAATCTGAATAGTTTATTCGGACGTCGGACGGAATCGTTTTCAATTGTAATCTTAATTTCGGAAAATTTATCTTGTATACTTTTTCGGATGTATTGAAGCGTGACCGACATATGACCACTTCATCATTAACTACGCGTCAAGAGCTGATCAAGATTTTTCCGGAGAATTAATTATTTAAAAAAATATAAAATTAGAAATCCCACGTTGCCATTTTATCCCACCTCTATTTATGAGAAATGGAATAGAATCTCCTCCAAAAAAACAAACAAAATAAATTTTTTTGACCGAGGACATTTTAATGGGACAAAGCAGCAGTTACAGGAATTCGTAGTCTAAGTGCTAGTGGAAATTTGCGGAAATTAGTGAAAGGTAGTAAATATACAAGATGTTACCTGATGATAGACTGTAATTCCAAATGCGCGGTATACAAATAAATTCGTAAAGAACAGTTCATATAATGTATGCCGTAGTTTTCGTATTCAATGTAAGGAGTGTCAGGCATCATACGACTTTTGTTTTTTGCGAATATAATACTTCAAAGACTACTTTTCTTGGTAAAATTGGGCGCTGCAGTTCATTTTGATCAGTTAAATTAACACGAAATATATAATACGTAACACCCTACATCTGTCACAAATAAATGTGGTTCATTCATTAAAAGTACAGTTCGAAATTTTGTGGAAACCTAAAAATTGCTGCGTGGTTAAAACACTGTAGGGTTCAGACACTGTCAAGATTGAAGATGGCGCATTGCTTGTTTTGCGATTACTTTAAGAACCACTACTTACTTCCCAAACAACGTGTTATTCTTATAACAAAAAAAGAAAATTATCCTTTTAATACGCAAGCAAATGTATAAGAATAGTATTAAATCATTCACGGTCTATCATCATCTGAAAAAAATTCCAGATAGTGTGTTCATAAGAAGAATTACTTTCGAATGGATAAAACTCAGTTTAACCAAGTACCTACATAAAACGATTAAATTATCTATTGAATCACATGAGTCTAATACGCAGAAGCCGATCAACACTGAAGAAAAATTATCTGTTTTCTTCAGGTAATGAAATGAAGAATTAGCATGCAAATTTTTAATTTTATATTTATTAATTTGGTATTCATATAGTTCTCAGACTCTTTCAATTAATCTCTTTAATAATAAAAATAATATGTGGAAAGAAATTGCAGGAAAGATGAAGGGAAAAAGTGGTAGGTGAAAATGAAGATTCATTTGTTACAATGAGAAAATTAATGAGTCGTAAACAAGTAGGTACTTTTTACAGATAGTTTAAAATATATAGGTATCTATATACAAGTTTGTTTAATTACAAGCTATGAGGTTTTTATTTTCATTTAAAATAAAGACAGTGCGCTTAATGCTAGTTTCATACAAAACCCTTTATCTTTTTATGTTTATACCGACATTTAAATATAATAATATGTAGGTTCTTAGAACCATTCTGTCTTGCCAATCCAACTTACCTTCAACCATAAGAAAAGTCTTTAAAGTTGTCCCTTACAACAAATCCTTCCGCATTGCCCAATACAAAAGTCCCTTCTGTATTTCGACGTTTGTACATAGAATGATGATGTTTTCTGTTCGTAATTAGTAACGGAATGATGGTTTCATCATCTTCTTCTAATAAAAGGATCAATGCAGAAAGATTTGGAAACTCTCGAAAATTAAATTTGCCAAAACTAATAGATCACCCAATGAGAAGGTATTGTGGTAGTATATCTAATAGCCCTCATTATATTTACTATGTCGGTTATGATGAGATATTCGTAAAATACACATTTTGCTGATCGAGCTACTGAGAAATTTCTCTTGTTGATTCTTCGTCAAGATCACTGAACTTGTCAACATTCCACCTTTGGGCATCCTTTAGGAGAAAGCAAACGAAACAGTCGTTAATAGAAAAACTACTCACTAGAACAACTGAACCATTCAGAAACACATATCTAGGTAAAAGTATGCAGTAATATGCAAGATAGTTTGATCAGTGATTCAAAATAGGCATCGCAGTCTACTTGTAGTTACATGCGATATGCAAAATATTGGTACAAATTCAAATAGTTGCAGTTATTTCCGAAAATTTTTACATATCTAATTTTGTTATTGAAGATACATAATACAAAAAATGTTGAATCAATTGAAGTATGTAGTTTTACTTACTTCCATTGATTATTATAATTGTTATTCGCTATGTCGGACGTTGAAAAATATCACTTTATCGAGCGTTAAAAGCAGTTTTAACTGAGAAATATATAAACCATAATATTTAAGGTTCCTAGATCGTCAAGTATAAAAAAATCGACTCAACTCAACCGACTCAACCACACGTCTCCATTCTTCTCTATCAAGCATCCGATCGGGGCCATCTTCGATATTTATGGCTTTTAGGTTTTTTGCAATATTATCTCTCTATCTGAGGCGGGGCCGCCCTAATGGACGTTTTCCCCTGGAACCTCCTCCCACATCAGTTTTACCATTTTATCATCTGACATTATTTTTACATGTCCTGCCCACTGTAGTCTCCTGGCCTTTATTTCGTTTATTATGCTGGTATCAGTGTGGAGTTGTTTGAGTTCTTGGTTGGTTTTTATTCTATATTGCCCTGTATTTTCGTCTCTAGTTGGGCCGAATATTTTTCTTAGCACTTTCAAAGACTTTTCAAAGACTTTCAAACTTTTCAAAGACCTTAAGTCGGCCTTATAATTATTTTGTATATGTTCAGCTTAGTGATTCTGGTAAGTATTCTAGATTTTATTAGGTTTTGAAGTGCAAAGAGACATCTGTTTGCATCCCGTATCCTGTTATTTATCTCTTCTGTGATGTTGTTGTTTTCACTAATATTTGTACCCAGATATTTCAATGGTCTTGTCCGCTCAAAGTTGTAGTCTCCGATAGAGAAGTTTTGTCCTATTCTATCTCGGTTCCGATTATTTCTACTAAGGTACATATACTTGGGCTTGTTTTAATTTATTGTGAGGCTTATCCTTTCAGTTTCCCTTTTGAACTTTATGAAGGACTCTTTCAGGTTGATCCTGCTATTGCCAATTACATCGACATCGTCTGCAAAAGCCAGGAGCAGATTTGGTCCCTCTTGATGAAAGATAGCAGTTGGCTTCTCGATTTTGAAATTCCTAATTACATATTCCAATGCTATGTTAAAGAATTGAGGTGAGAGGAGAGATTTCTTGAGACCATTACTGTTACTGAAGGAGTCGGCGAGACTCTGTCCCACTCTTACCTTACATCGCGTATCCTACATACATACATACTTTTGTCAGCGATATAAGCATTTTTGGGAATCCAAGTACTCTGTCGAATGCCTGTTCGAAATCTATAAACATTTGTTGGATTTTTCTGTTGAATTCCCAACATTTTTTCATTATTTGTCTAATAGTAAAAGTCTGGTCTACGGTGGACCTATTTGGATTTTTTTGGATCTAAAACCACATTGGTAGTCCCATATGGTTTCATTCTATCTGGCAGGATATTGGAGAATATCTTATAGTATGTATTCAGAAGAGTTATTCCACGATAGTTTGTGCATTTACTTTTGTCTCATTTTTTATGTATAGGGACAATTACGCCTTCTTTCCACTCATCCGGCAGGGCCTCTGTCCTCCAGATGATTTGTATAAGGTTATGTATGGCCTTATGGCTTTGAATATAAAACTAACTACTACGGACGGCTCTTAGAGCCATTTCACACTGGCCACTCTGCAGCGCTTCTCAGTGGCGCTATTGAGAAGCGTAAGTTGTACGTAGTTGTAGTATTGATTTACATGGAGCTATTCATAAAGGCGCGACCAAGGTCGGACCACCGATTTAGCAGCGCTTCCGTGGCGTTCAGTGGTTGACTACCGCCGACAACCGCGTCGTAAAGAAGTGCCATTGATAGCGATACATTGGTTAAAATGCTGTCGTTCACACGAGCCACTTCACTGTGCCACATGTTAACGTGAGTTTCTCAGCAGTGCCATCCAGAAGCGCTGCAGAGTGGCTGGTCCAATGTTACGTGCGCTTATTAGCAGCGCCACTGAAAAGCGCTGCAGAGTGGCAAGTGTGAAAAAGCTCTTAAACTAGATTTTTGGCTAAAATTCTATTAAACTTGTTATTTACACATTCATTAAAAGCACGTGTTAGAAGTCAGATAGGTGCATGACATTCACATAAATGCCGGTTCTCGTCTCGTTTCGAAAGTGAACTGTAAGCATAATAAGATTCATTAGGGCAGAAAGCCGATTGGGTCGATAGCCTTTTTCTATAGGAAATAAAGATTATTTATATATATATATATATAAAAGATTCATTAAAATACTGAATTCAGTATATGCAGAACATTAAAACCATAATCTCAATTGCGAGAGTAATTATAATACAAATATTTAAAATGTTTTTACTTTCTATTTCAGATGGTTATTAAATCGTTAGTTCTTCTGGTAACAACTGCTTCATTAATTAACTCCAAAGAATATGTGCCATGCCAAGAAATATCGCAAACACTACGGTTTCCATGCAAATGCGCTTTGGGACCGGTTGAAGAGGTCCTTAGTGGCAATCCATCTTTGTCAGTTAACTGTGACAGAATAGTGTTTCCGCTGGACATGCCATTTCTACCTTATGGAACTCCAGTGGTAAACTTCAGCCAAAAATATGCCGGACATCATTCATTGCCAAGCCATGTAAGTAAAATGGCTGTAATATCTTTCCGATCCCATTTTATACTGATCTATTAATCTTTCATTGGGTATGCGTATGTTTGAGTATGACCGTGTAACCCATAGTGGACTATTTACTTGTATATACAGGGTGTCCGGTAAGTATGCGGTATAATTTCGGCAGATTGTAGAGGATTTCAAAATAGCCATAGCGATTGTCTCATGAACTAATTCCTAAAGTACCCCCTAGTGAGTAGAGTGTTTTGGCGTTAGTTTTGGTGTTTAAACCGTTGCGTATAAATTAAAAAAAAATAAAACTTTATGTAGGCGATAAGGCTTCTTAAATTCATGCTACAGTAAATGTTTTACGCCATCAGAGTAGTCAGGAACGAACGGACGTTGGGCCAAATTTTTGACAGGTGTCATTTTACTGAGCTTCATAGGATATCCAAAAAAGGTTATAGCGATAAAGTTAACTGTTTTCAACAAAATTGGATTTTTGCACCACATGTTATCGAAATGGTAACTCAGAATACATGCTGCAATAAAACACCAGTCGATTTTATTCCATCGACAATACTTGACTCATATTGACAGCAAAATTCCTTTTGTTTACCTGAGCAGATTTTCCAAATGGGCGCGTGGTACCTGTATATGTTTTCTTTTTCTCATCCGGCGGAGGTATTATCGTTGCACTTGAAGCAACATTCCAGTATTGTATATTATTCTTTGTAAGAATAATTCTTCAGGTAAGCCTTCGTTCGCTCTGGTGTCGCCAGGGCCTCCTTTGTAAAACACTATCCCTATAGAAATAAATCCAATGGAGTCATGCCTGGCGGCCTCGGTGGCCATAAAATAGGTCCACCCCGACCTATTCATCGATTGCCTTTTGGCATAGCATCGGTGCTGTGCTGGAACCAAATTGCTCAAATGGGGCGATACATCGTCATGCATAAACTATATCTGATTTCTAATGCCTAAAGGTACATTTTGAAACAATCGTTTAATTTTTTTTGCAAGAATTTTAAATAATTGACGCCATTCAACATCTCTTCAAAAAATAACGACCCAATGAGGCAATTTCCAATAATCTCGACCCACACATTTACTATGAACCTTTGATGGCGCTTCTTCTGCACCATTACATATGGATTTTCTTCGTGTGAGTTGTGCAAATTATGGCAATTTATTGCCTCGTCTTGATTAATCCTACGTCCGACAATACCAGTAAAATTTGGATTTTGTCTGTGTTGAAAAAAGCAATTCGAGTAATTGACTCTTGCAAGACGGACGTGATAAAGCTATAGCAGTTGTTCTCGAAGGGTTTAGGCTATATCCCACTTTGTCGCATATATTATTAGAACGATTTGCAGCAATCCAGAATTTTCTCCTCCCGCTGAGGGTTTCATACTCCTCTGAAAAGCCGTGCTCCTTCATGATGCGGCAAAAAAAACGTCCTACAATAGAATGGCAAGATTAGGGCTACTTTTAACATTTATTGGAGTGATAACTTCTAATGGCACGGTGCAAACCCATCGGAATGCCTTACGGCGTCGTCTAGCATAGATAAAAGCAAGTAGTTACGCAGGTCTCCCTCGCACGCAGATAGCGTGTACACTGTGGGCCGGTGTCCTATGCGATTTCATCCGAACTGCTTTTGTCATAAATCTTGCGAAAAGGAGCGAATCATCGAATTTCATTGCAACGTACTGGAGCTCGTCCACTATATCGGAACTAATTCATACGAATACGCTCGAACTATTGTAAGTAAAATGGAACCTTGGACCGGTCGTCCTTTGGAAGGATTTCGTCAGATTTCACATACAGGGTGATTCAAAATTGGCGCCATTCCTCTGGAGGTGTTGTCTGGCGCTGTTATAGGAGTACAGAAAAAATAGTAAAATAAATTAATTGTTAATAAAAACTGAGAAATTTGCAAAAACCTATATCAGAAATACGGCAGCAATGTTTTTCAAGGAAATCTGCCTAATTAACATTGCGCAAATACCTGTTGCTTATTAACCAAGGAATTATACAGAGTGACAATAAGATAGACAAGGATGAACGGTAAATTCAACAAGATTTGTTGACTGCGGAACGTACTTTCGAAATGTCAACCTGTTCGCATAACCTCGAATATTGCTGTTTATAAATAAACCATACAAGACCAAACATTTGAATGGTTAACTCCAAACAAGCTAGTGCCTGTGTAATCTCCTTATTATCCACTCTTATCAAGCAGCTTCTCGTATTCAGTTAATTAACTCCTGCTCCATTTGTACATGTGTGTGCTCCTTGTACTGTGTGTATCGTACAAACGTGGTAGGAATGTATTTCCTCTTCCTCGGTATTTATTTGGTGCTTCGGAAAGTGTCAGTTATTGTGCTCTAAATACCCCTGGAAGGCCCTGATTCGATTATGTCCAATACTTGTTCCTTTGTGTCCTGGAACCCCAACATCGATTGTCGTCCACTATCTTCCTGGAACCACTCTCCTCGCTCTTGGCGTGAGTTCTTTCTGCTTCTGCTATGTTACTGCAGCATTTCCCCTGAACTAATCGCACATCCGCAAATTCGTGAAAGGAAATTGAAAGTAAGTCACAGTTTGACAAATTATTGTTATTATTGACAAGATCTATCCACCTGTGACTATCTGTTAATGACAAAAAACATCATTGTCGCGGTGCCTTTTCATCAAAAAATTGTAGAAAAGAACTTTTTTGATACCGAAAATTTTCGTAATTTGAAGCAAAGATCGTAATTTTCCTTTTTGAATGCTTAAGTATTCCAATATGCTGCCAATTAAACATGGAACAATTTGTAAATAATGCTTAATAACAAAGTTGAAATTTGATCTTTAACTGTTAATATCTTCAGAAATTTTCGAAAAGAAACAAAAAAAAATAGGATTTCTTTTGTTAAATCAACTGGAATGTTCGTAAAGAGCGATACAACGTCCAGTGTAATCAGTCTGTAGTTGTTGGTAGGTGTTATTTTTGGATAAACTCAGCAAACTCGAACGAATTGCTTATGTGATATTTATCTCTCTCAAAAAGTTATTAATGTGATCACAAATTTCGTCGCATACAATAGAAATAGAGGAATTACCACACATGCACAACAACAAACGCCGCTTAAACACTTGGCTGCAACTAGGTCTTTTATAAAAATTAATCTTGATAGTTTGGTTGTGACCAGAGCAGACAAGGGTAACACCACCGTGGTTATGAATAAATATCACATAAGCAATTCGTTCGAGTTTGCTGAGTTTATCCAAAAATAACACCTACCCAACAACTACAAACTAATTTCACTGACCGTTGTGTCGCTCTTTACGAACATTCCAGTTGATTTAACAAAAGAAATCCTATTATCAAAGACTTGTCACACACTAAGTGTTTAAACTTCACCAGGCTCTAGGCTAAAACCCCTCTGTTTTCCATTTTAGAGCCCTGAGGATGACTTGAATAAAGTCGAAACGTTGGCCCATGAAAAAGTAGTGTTACATTTTGCCACCATTCGCTGACCGAAAATCCCAATATCGAAGAATTAATTACTGATTATCATCACGGTCACTAATCAACCACAACATTCTATATAAAATAATTCTATACGTAGCGAAGATGTAGGTCCTCGTAAAAATCTCAATAAATACTCATATAAACGTGTGTTTTGTTTTTTTAAGTTTTTTATAAGTTTTTGCATCACATTTAAGGCCATATTTTGAATAATCGAGCTTTTATATTGAAAAAACAAATATTCATTTAATAGTGGCGTTTTTATGATAAAAGTGCTGATTTCTGCAGCGCGTTTTATTGCTAAAATTAGGGGCGAGGTATAGAACTAATTTTTCATTTAGAATAAACATAACATTAATTAAAACAAAGCTAAATAACATTTAATCCTAATCAATATGTTTTGTGGCGCCTAAATATCCAGTCATCATTGACAGTTATTTTTTTTTAATTTTGAAGATTTTGCGGACATGATCTTTGCCTATGGATATTGCGACACCATCAGCACAACCGCCTTTGTGATATAATGAGAACAACGATACCCGAATGGCCGTCTTCCAAACAAGCGCACTGATTGATTCGCACTGACAATGTTAGCTTATCAGTGGAATAATCTAGGGCCGTCACAAATTAGCCTTGTGACGTAACAACAAACGATAAAAGTGGATTATTTTTCCAAGGGTGAATTTAATAATATCCGTGCTGAGCTTTAAACTGCAACGACAAAAACACCAACAATATTTGATTAAAAACCCGTTTAATCACTAAATAAGATTGTATACCTACAAATACAATTTTTGAAATCTACAAATGTTTCCTAAATCTAATTTACAAAAATAAACTTACCTTTAGCTTAAAACTAAGAATATAAATTATAAAAAGTGAACCAAAAGGTCTTGTTAGTTCTATTTTTGAACTAATTTTTAATGAAACAAAAAGTGTTAAAATGAGTGTGCATCAGTGTCTAGTATTCACTGAGTGTTCCAAAACAACGGTATTGAAACCAATTGTACATTTAATTACAAATAAACACTACCGCCAGCTATTGACGGTGAAACGTTGTCTTCAAAGGGAAATCAAGTTTGAAACACTCACAGTTTTGGAGTCAAGCAGCCTGTTGTCTGTCAGCCCCCAGAGTAATTTGTTTGGTCGACTTTTTTTCGATCCAGATAAGCAAGCCTTGTTGCGTCCGCAACGTTGCTGCAGTCCGGTACTGCACGAATTTGTATTTCGAATAATCTTCAGGAGGTCGGCGTTCTGGGTTGGTTGAAACTAGTTGTGGTTCCAATCACTAAGATACTGAGCCCTTTTTTGCACAATACTCCGAAAGTCTAATATAGAGGCCCGAGTCAATTTAGACAACGGGTAAACCAAATAAATGAGAGGGTGCAGGCAAATGCCTGTGGGAGCGATGCTACGCGTTCGATTTTCGGGTGCGGACCATAGAGAAAGTAAAATAATTATTACTTATTTTACTTACTCTATGGTGCGGACTGGAATTTCTTCCCTTACCCGCCTGGTCGGGCACTTAAAAAAGGTCTTCGCTGAGAAGATCAACGAACCAGGCGGTTTTCATGGGTTTGTTTTTATAGGTGGAATTTAGGGTGTTTTTGACCGTTTGTTGCAAGAAAGTCTGCAACACGCACGATGTAAGAAGTATGTGAACTCGGTAGAATAAATCCTCATGTCAGTACAAGACTTTCTCCACTTACTAGGCAAAATGAAGATTATGTGCATGAAAGATTGCCATAAAACGGATTACGCCCTTATCCCCGACCGGTACAAGAATGTCTCCCAGCGGATCTTCCGCAAACAATTCGTCTTTGTGGATAGTGATAGAATAATAGAAATTGTTTTTTTTTACCCTTTTTTGCTTCGAATAATAATAATAATAAATACTTTTTATGACAGTAGTTCATTTCGAAAAAATTGTAATTAATTTTCTTAATTAAAATGGCACAATTCCATAGATAGGTAGTGATGGACGCCGCGATCCGCACATTTCAACCCGATTGACTTTTACATGATAAAAGTTACTTATTCTATGAGAAATCTCAATTTCAAAGACAAAGTGATCCAAAAAAATTGATATTAATTGTCGTCAATATGAAGATAAAGCAAGAATTTCAATATGATTTAATGCAGACTGGTATTGGTGTTCCTAAAATACTGCATATGACCTAGATTACAATTGAGTTTTGATTTGTTATGTAAATGCAGACTTTAAGGGCGGATCCAGCTTTCAAGTCAAGGGGGGGGGGGTCATGTAGTAGAGATATAGTTAGAACAGGCTTCAGCTTAATTATTAACGGATTTTGTCCTTCATTCTAACCGGTTGTTGTCAACAGTATTAAATATGGAATTATTTGAATTATAATTGGAATTTTGTCACCACGCTTAGAGCATGACTAATTGATGAAGGAAAGGCACTTTAGAGCTAACGGCTCATTATAACAAACAAAATTATTTCATTGAATGTAGAGATGATCTCAACTTTTAAGACATTTAGCTGCAATTAAATATTACTTTAGTTATTATGTACACACAAAGAAAGACACTTAGAGCAAAACCACAATTTAAAAAAAGATCCTCTGAAGGCAAAAAAAATTATTCTTCCAAATATTCGGGTACGCGGCCTTAAACACACAGGAGAATTGTTGACTGAGAATATTTTGCTTGGAAAAACGTCTATTGGGCATTAATGTCAATTTTTCCAACTAATGTTAACTACTCACTTTTTTTTCAAAGGTTACACACTCGCTCAATTCGAACTCATTTTACTCCCTTGCTGTTGCCGCTATCCAATATGGGACTGGTATAGTTTTTATAGCTACTTCTTCAGGCTTTTTGGGGGTTTTGGAACTTTTGAAAAATATTGAAACTTATGTTCCGTGCAAAAGAATGGAGGTATGCGCAAGTGGAACAGTCTTACGGTTGCCAACAGTCAGGATTCATGATCTCCTAAACCGTTGCCAATATCAATTTTTGTGGAGACAGCCGAACTCTACCGAATACCTGTGGAAATCCAGATCATTTTTTTGTTTTGAAATATTTCGAACAGTTGTGGAGTTTTGGGCAAATAACTATGCAAACAATGTGGATGGCAATTTAAGTCTCTAACTCCAAACTTTATTTTCTTTGAAACTATATACGAAAACGATGTCATTGAAAAGTGGCATCTTGGTTTAAATTCGACTCTAAAAAATGAATTTATGCTAAAATGAACTTTGGTCCTGAAACAAATAGATGCTTTGTTGATTACAGCGCCACCCTTCAAAATCGCAAAAAATGTTTTAGATAAATTATTCCCAGTTTTTGACGTACTATTCGAATCTTCAATAAAATGTTGTGGTCACCATTTGACATTCTCAAGGTGACCCCTGCCTAGCTTACAAGGTCGAAGTAGGCGTTGTTTTTCTGACACAAATAAACTTCCCCCTCCCATATATTACCTTCTTATTTGAAACATTTTTTCTTCGGATCACTCGTTTCCGAAATAATTAAGCATTTCAAGATACAAAAAACCACCCTGTATATACTACTAAAATTGTTCAACTAAAACCACCTTAAAAGTGCCTATATTAAGAGACGATCCCTGTCAAGCATAAAAGTGCCCTTTCTTTTGCAAGTAGGAAAGTAGGTTTCCTTTTTGAATGTTTTAGTTTTGCACAAGTGATCAAAACTAAAGATGTGACAGGATTATATAGGAGTAGCTTGCGAATTAACTGCTCATTCTATTGTGGTAATGAAAAAGAACTTTTTTGTTAGATATTTTTGGTTGTCGTTTTACCCTATGTGGAATACTTCATCATACATTTCTAATAACAACCGTTTCATATTACCACAAAAATAACATACTATTTCCGTATCCAGTATACATTTGGCTTCGCCAATTTAATATAGATGTATGATTTTTAGATATTCACAGCCAGTCTACCTCTAAGATATCTCGACTTATCGCACAATTATCTGCGAAAATTAATGGACAAAATGCTGAGCACTATTCAAAATACTTTGATTGAATTGAGGTTACAATCAAATCTACTGGGTGATACACTTAATCCAATATTCTCGACCAGCGAGTTTCGGGGTCTCAAATATCTGAACCTTCTCGATTTAAGCAGCAATGGAATTAAAGCTATAGAAGAAGGCATTTTGGATGGTTGTGACAAATTGCAGGTAAGAACTAAATTATTTACATATATTTGGGGATATTGAAATGTAACTAAATTGTAAGTTAGTTCTTAAGTAATTATTATGAATTAAACATAATTTTCAAAAAAAGTTACTTTAATTTTACCTGAAATAGAGCAAATATATCGGGTGTCCCTTAAGCACATGATCAAAAGGATACTGCGATATTCCTTGCATCAAAAGAAGACGATCTGACCTAACTTTTATTAACAAAAAATGTCTGGCTCCTTTGCTATTGATCGTCAAAGTTTTTTAAAAAATATATATTTTTTGAACTATCGGGAGAATGGTACGATGTATATTAGTGAAACGAGCTGTAAATTTGTTATTATGTTAGACTCATATTTTGATGAAATAATCGAGTTCATCCGTTTTGGACAAGTGGAGAATTCGTGAGGGTCGTGGTACAAAAACTACCAGAACGTTTTATTTGGTGGATAAAGTCAAACTCTTTTTTTTTTTGGTTGATGCACTTAACAATGTTAGATATTAACTGCAAATATAGTGATACGAGGCATAAAGTAATTGTCAATCAATCTCACAACTTCTTTTTGAATCACCTTTTCTAATGAAGAAGTGACCGACATGGTCAAAGTATTAGGGTTTTGCGAAAACAACCTGCGTGAAAGCGTACGCGTTTACGCTGCGCATATTTGCAGTTAATGTCTAGCATTGTTAAGTGGCTAAAAAACAGACACATTTTTTTGAGCAAAAACTATGAATACTACAAGATTTTGCAAAGAGCTCAAAATTGTGTACAAATGTTTAGTGCATCAACCAAAAAAAAATGAGTTGATTCCATCCACCAAATACCATAGACCAAAAAGTTCTATTAGTTTTTGTATCACGACATTCAAGAATTTACCACATGTCCATAACGCCTGAACTCGATTGTTTTATCAAACTATGAATCTTACATAAGAACAAATTCACAGCGAGTTTCACCAAAATACATCGTACCATTTTCCCGATATTTCAAAAAAGATATATTTTTTTAAGAACTTTGCCCATTAATAGCAGAGAAGCCAGATATTTTTTGTTAATAAAATTTAGGTCAGATCGTCTTCTTTTATTTCAGGGAATATCGCAGTATCCTTTTGATCATGTGCTTACGGGACACCCTGTATATTTGCTCCATATCAGGTAAAACTAAAGTATCTTTTTTTGAAAATTATGTTTAATTAATAATAATTACGATGAATGAACCAAATACAAATAAAAATACTTTGCTAAAATATTTAATGAACATTTTTGTCTATTTAAAAAATGTACCCTACATTTATCCAAATAAAATTAGAAATGATTGAAGCCTTTGCAAAAGTTATAACAAACATTATTTTCTTTTGTGTTAAACTTATACATATAACCGATAACTTGAATTAGCGTGAAAACTACAGTTGTAGATTCTCATGCGCAACAAAATTTAAACCAAATCCTACATTGCAGTTGTGTTCAAAGGTAATAATTACTGGAATAATGAGATAACAAAAGCTTCCTGAAACGCACAATCTCCACATTGATCATGTTCTGTAGATGTTTAAATCAAAATATGCGTATTTTAATTAATTATTTGCATATCCATTGTTTATCTCTACTTAAGTTGCTCTTATTAAGTGAAAAACGCATTATTTAAAACATTCGTAATACTCATTTAGTACGTAACGTAAAAAACATGTAAAAATACTGTTAAGGAATTGTTAATCGTTAGTGCTGTTAAAATAATTGAGAATAGAGTTTAAATAATTGAAGCTCGAGATACCAGTAGCAACGGTTGTTGTTTGTAAACAAAAAGTAGTTGTTGATAGAGACTCGATTTTAAAAAGGCACAAATAAAGTATAGTAAAAAACACCCAGTTGTCGTCTTTATAATTATAAAATAAATACAGTCCACTTTGAGTGCCAAATAAAGGCATTCCAAAACAAATACAAATATAATATATATCATTATATATTCCAAACTATGCATCAAAATATGGCTAATATTTAATTTTACTGTGATCTCGAAAGGCCACAAAGTCTTTATCAGAGAGAGAGAGTATCTTTCCCTTTCAATTAGTTGTCCAAATTAATGAAAGTGTTGTTAAATAGTGCCAAGTTAATAGAATAGTTTTCATACATACTTAGAATACTGAACTTAAGATGCAAGGTTGACATAACAATTCTAGTTTGGTTGTCAACTCTTTTCAATTTTTGCGGAGAAACGTTTTTACTGTTTTAGCATATAAAAATAAAATAAAGATATAACATGTATTAGATCTTTGATGTCAATGAACTGTTAACTGAAAAAAACCAACGTGGAATCATAACAGATTGCGTATGGTTGAACTACAATAATAAAATATCGAAACATTTATTAAATCCCAATTCATATTAAATGTCCAAACGAAGTTAGGTGAGTTCAAACCAGAAAAAAATCCGCATTTTTTTTAATGGACAGGGCATAATTTAATTGCTTGCTTAAAGTAATATTTAAACAATTTTAGTTTTTTAAAGTAATTGAGTATTGTAGAGACAGATATGTACTGTAATTTCCCAAATAATTTTACACTTGTTTAAACAATTCACATGGGCAAAATGTTGACTCATATTAACAATTGATTTAACATTCCACAATATGAAATTATTCTAATCTGATCTATTTACCATTATTACAACTTCAACTTTATCCAAAGATAAAAATAAACGTTTTGTTTCGGTTACTGCGCTCAGAGTTAACCGCACTTATTATGGACGTTAAACGGCTGCAAATGTCATGGTTACCTGAGAAAAAAGCTAAAAAAAAATTCTTAAACCAGGAACCTAATAATTATCGTAGTAAATCGACCACATCAAAAAATATTTGAATTCACCAAGCGTTTTTGAGAACGCATCTTTTTATTTTCGAGTCCAAAAGCAATTTCCTTAAAAGAAAATTTTCTGTAAAAGAAAACGTAAAACTTCAATAGACCGTTTAAAAGTTATTAGACAAAGTTTTCCTTGCCTAATAACATTTAAAAAATGTGTTAAATTGACTACTTAATTACAATAATGGGATGTTGAATCACAGATTACTCCTAGCACAAATACGAATTATCTGCAGAAGTAGGATGAACCGAATCAATGGGGTGCAATTATTTCTGTTTTAATTTTATGACAAAATGAATTAGCTCCGGACATTTCAAAATGCGTTCACTTAAAGACCATTATCTTTGGGTCTTCAAAATGAGATTTCTTGTAATGTGTGCTTTTTAGTTTCCGAATAAAATGTTGTATTTTTAACCCCTTGTTTCAATAATTTACCTTTTCTTCGAAATGGAAAGGAACATGTTTTGTAGAACTGCACATCACCATAAAATATCAAACATGAAAATGCGACAAATATGTTGAGTTAAATAAAAAACTTGTCTGTGCTCCCAACTACTATCACTTTAAAAGTTCAAATGGCACCGCCACCAAGTGACACATTGCTCTAAAAATCCAAGCCTAAAATTCCCTATTAAACGATGTAAGAAAAAGTAAGGAGTGAAAATGCATGGCTATGAAGGTTTCTAGATCTAACTCCATGAGACTTTTTCCTACGGGGTTGCAAGAACTGAAGATTCGAATATCACAAAAATGTAGACAAAATTCTTTTTAAACGTTGGCCAAAGCTGGTGAGGATTTTCAAGACAGACTTTATTGATGCCTAGACATTTTTTAAAGTAAATAACGTAGACCAATTTACAAAGTAAATTAAAGGAGGGGAATCCATAAATTGCCAGATATTTTGACGGTTAATATTTCCATCTTAATATGACCCATTTTCTCTTCTAAATCCTGAGCCGACCATCTAATTTTACTTCCCCATTTTTTAATGTTAAATAGAGATTTTTTCGTTTTAAAATCATGTATCTCTCGTTGGGAGTGCTATTCGACGTTTTAAAGTGGTAGTAGTAGTTAGGGTTCCACATATCATAGAAATCCCCCCTTCTTATCAACATCGAGGTACATTTTGAATTTTTCAATTTTACCAAATATTCTCCAAATTAACAACATTGAAATTGCCTTGAAATGAAAAATGAAAAAAATTGTGTATGGTTGAAATACAATTAGTGTTTCACATAATAATATCTAAAATTTCATTGAGTAAATGGTTAAATATTAACCTAAATATTAATATAAAAATCTGTATGTATTTGAGATTAATTTAGATCAATGATAGATTGAAACGTATGTTTTTAGGAATTATACTTGGATCACAACGACTTCCAATTAATTCCGAGCACCTCCCTTAATGGCCCTAAATCTTTAAAAGTATTGTCACTGAGCAACAACAACATAGGTAAGGCAGTTTTCTTCATTATTTACTTATATATGTTTTGTGCATAATGCGTTGTGTATAAAACGTAATTATTTTTGAAATTTTTACCCGGAAAACACGTATCTTGATGAGTCATAAACAAACATTCAAATGACCGATTTCCAAGCATGAGATTAACATGCAAATATGCAGAATGTCTGTAACAAAAATCCTGCCTCAGATTCATGGGTTAAAGACACTTGATTTGTCTATTAACAGGGCGTCGGACTTGTAGTTAAAAAATCGAACAAGCTTAATTGTTTTGTTCGTAGTCATTATTTGAGCAAAATTTGGTTTAAAACAGGGATGAGCAACACGCGGCACGTTGAACATGTTTATGCGGCTCGCCAAGCATTTCTAAAATTGATTGAATTGATTTTATCGACTTTTCTCTGATCAGTATGTTGTTATAAAATTAATTATAATTAAACGGTAGTTCATACCAAACCGAAACAATTTGTTGTGACGAGTTACTCACTTGATTGGTAAGCTTTTAACTAACAATTTAAGCAATTCTTTTGTTTATTGAAAGGCGTGAGTGCATTATTATTGCCCCATAAGTAATATTAAGTTTTTTTATTCCAAATTAAGTTTTCCAGCTATTTTTTTAACTTATTATATTATTATATTATTAAGCTGTATGCTTGATATGCTGAGAGACTGTGTCGTCATTAAAGGAATATAACATAAAAAGACATTATGATACCAAACATGAACAACAGTATAAAAACTTAACAGGACCACTCCGGATAGATAAATTTAATCAAATAGCGAAACGAAAGAGAAAAGAAAAGAAAGAAAGAATAGAAAAGCTCCCGGATTGGATGATATACCAAATGAGCTTATAACATATGGCGGAGCCTGTATGATGCTTAACGACTAGAAAGATACCAAGTAACTGGAAGAAAGGCATCACCGTTCTAGTATTTAAAAAGGGCGACAAAAGAGTTCCAGAAAACATAAGGGCATAACATTGCTCAGTTCAGTCATGAAACTCTTCACACAAATCTTGGAATCTACAATCAACGGGTACATAAGCGGAACATAAGAGGTACATAAGAGGAACAGGTAAACATTAGATTCCATCTTTATATTGGGGCAAATTACTGAAAAATCAATAGATCACGGAAAACCCGCCTTCTTCTGCTTTATATATCTCACCAAGGCCTTCGACAAAGTGAAACTCAGGAATGTCATAAAAATTCTATAGGAAAAACACCTATAATGGAAATAGTGAAACAACTCAACACTGACACCTCTACACAGATATCTGTGAACCAACATCTAACTGAAGAAATTCGAACTCCTACAGGTATAAAACAGGGCGATTTACTAAGTCCCTTACTCTTTAATATCATAATGGACCAAATAATAGATCGCGTAAAGAATTCTGGAAGGGGATACAAACTAAACACAAAAGCTATCAAAATTATCTGCTACGCCGATGATGCAGTAATTGTGGCTGAAAACGATGAATACCTGCAGAGGCTGTTATATTCGTTCTCCTTAGAAGTACGCAAATTCAACATGCAAATATCAATAACAAAAGCAAAGTCAATGGCCATAAGCCAAAACGATGCAAGCTTGTCATTGCAGACCAACCGATAGAACAAGTTATGTCGTTTGGTGATCTCGGCGTAGAGATATCGGCGAACCAAGATAGAACAAGCAAAGTTTGTAATCAGGCAGATAAAGCATGCAGGGTTGTGTTCGACCCATCATGACGTAGGGCACAGAAACTCGAGCGGATAACAAAAGAACTAAGTCCATCCTGAAAACGACGGAAATGAAGATACTGAGAACCATATCTGGATACACGCTGAGAGATAGGAAGAGGAACATAGCTATCCGAGACGAATGTCAGACTCAGAACATAGTCAAATGGGGAAGAAAACGGCGACGATATTGGAACGACACGTCACTAGAATGGACGCAGGCAGAATTGCTAGGATAGCCCGAGATGGAATCCCAGGTACTAGAAGACTCTTGGGGTCTACATCCAACGAGGACCAAAGTGGAATTTACAAGCCCTAAACTTAAATTAAGATGATGAAGAAGAAGAAAAAGACGGCAGTAAAGGCTAGTTTTGTTGCCAGTCAAATACTGCAAAAAAATGAAACCCTTTGAGGATGGAGAGATGATAAAAAATGTCTTACTGTTGTTGCAGAAATAGCATTTTCTGATAAATAAAGATTATTTCAAACATTAGTTTATGAAGATTTTATGCACCATTCCAACGAGAGTTTGACGTGTCCGAGAACATAGTAACAACGCTTATGAGGTCACAGGAAGAGAAATATTTGTTAACCACTGCATAATTAACCAGGAAAATGATGTGCGAAAATATTGAGTTTGCCAAATGTCACTGTACCAATAGTTAAACTAATCAGTATTATAAAGTCGCACGCGTTAAATCACCGTAAAATTACTGTAAACTGAATATGGCGACGTGGTTTTTAATACTGAAGTACGTTGGCTTAACAGAAATGCAATGCCAAAAACAAATACAACTTAAAAAGTGAAATACAATTGTTCTTGGATACGAAGGGCCTGATATGAAATGCCTTTCCTCATTTTGGTAATAACAAATGGATGTGCAATTTTGGATTTCTTATCGACAAGATCGGCAGCATCTTTTGCAGATTAATGTGTCTTACTTTCCAAATTTAGGAAAAGAAAACGCTGCTACTTCTCAAAAATACGCACAATATATAATTATATTATTTATTGTGATAAATTAATCAACGAATTTCAAAAGTTTAAACCTGAGAAGACAGCGGTTTCCATGAAAATGTTTTCCTGGCCATTTAATATCGATGTGGATACAGTTCCCGAAGACTTTCAAATCGAAGTTATTGACATGCAGAATATTACTGATTTAAAAAATGTATGTTTCTTAGTAAACATCGAACATTTGTATACATTTTATGTGAGCCTTGAGAAATTTCCAAAATCTTTTGACAAAAAATGCATTGCAATTGACGTCTCTGTTCGGAAGTACGTATGTTTGCGAACGATTATTTTCAACCATGAAATTAATAAAAAATGACCACCGATCATGACTGAATGATGCACGATTAGAAAGCTGCGTACGTGTTGCTACCTCATGAATTCCCTCTGATATTGATCAGCTTGTACCGAAAAAACGGTTCCAAAAATTTCAACTAAATGAATTTTCTATTCGCTTCTTGTTTGTTTTTATTTTGCATTAAAATTTGTACTTGAGATTTTTACTTTTTTATTTTTTTATTCTAATGTTTACTATAAATAAAGTTTTGTCAATTATTAATGAGCGTTACTTTATGTGCCTAACGCTAAAAAAATTTCAAGTTTAAATTGGCACTTTCATTAAAAAGGTTGCTCACCCCTTGTTTCAAAAGGTTTTTCCAGGCGAGAATATGGCACACATAACATTTTAATTGACGGTCGCCATTATGCACCAGCAAATCTTCTTTGAACTTGCTCATTTTTTTTCGTCTAGGTTATAACAATTATTGATAATCGGATCCAGTTTTTATAAACTTTTAATGTATCTCTAGTGTATAAACAATTGGAACAGTTAAATATATCTACTATTTATTTGTTCTATTTTATCTACCTATTTGAAAATGTGATTTCTACTAATAAATGATGTACTTACCTAAAATTAAATTTTTAAACAATTTTCGAGGTATTGTACTATATGTACCAATAGTTACATCACTACAAAGACGTCGTACTTTAAATTTCAAATGTCTCAATACGAAATGCTTGAATAAAAAACTTGAATAACTGCATAAGTAAATAAATATTTACCAAGACATCTTCAATCGATAAAATAATATTAACATAAAAACTGTAGGGATTAAATTATTCTTATTTATATGTTTAATAATGTTGTGGGTTAATATAATTTATAATACAATTAATATCATTTAAAAATATAGCCACTTATGACGACCAATGCCTTAAATCAGCAGGGCATATAATGCTTGAAGTAAGATGGAAATTAGAGCGCATCGAGTATTTTGTAAAATCTTTGGTTTTGTAAAATAAAAGTTTCTTTAAACAACAATTGTTTTATAATCCAAATCAGAATAATTATTTGCTGGATACATAATAATAATAATAATAATAGTAAACAAAAAAACAGTAATTATAATAATAAAGAAAACTTAGTTATATAGAAAATAGAAAATAGAAAGTTTTTGCGAAATTTAAGTTCGATTGGCTTCGTTTCTTTAGCAGTTCAATCTGACTAGCTTTTAGCTCTAAGGAAGCTTCTACAATTTTTAGGAAAAATCATTGCAATTTATGTGAAGCAAGACTATTCAAGTTGATAGGCAACTACACCCGAAATAAGACTAGGTACTGAGAAGAAAAATATGAAGTTTTCCGGTTGAATGTGTGTGTCAAGTTTTGCAATGTATACTCATTTTACCACGTATTTAAAATTGTATCAAGCAATTGTTACTTACTTGTAATTCTAAATGCAATCAGTAATTGATAGCCAAAATAGTTTAAAGAAAAATATAATGGCAGCGTTGTTGTTAGGTTTGATTTTTAAATTATTTCATCTATTTATATTTACTGATTTTTGGGTTCTGTTTTATCTAGTTTTCTGTTATTGTTAATTTCATTAAAAATAAATTACCAATTTCCTTAAGGTCGATTTTTCAAGCTAAAATCAAAATGTGTCATAATTTGTACAGAGTATGTGAATACCGTGCATATTGTGTATTTATTTTTAAGTAAGTTGTATCGTATTTTTATAAATTTGTACATTTTAGATTCGATCAAAGTGGACACGTTCATCTCTCAGCCAAACTTGGAAACAATTGACTTGGGACATAATTTAATATCAGTAATAGAAAACGGAGCCTTAAGTAAATTGGAGAATATAAAAACTTTAAAACTATCTCACAACAAATTATCGAAATTCAATAGCGACGTTTTCGTTGGAGCAGAAAGTCTGCTTGACTTAGAATTGTCTGAAAATTTTATGACGGAATTTCCAACAGAAGCCATCAAGATTTTTGAACATTTGAAATATCTCAATCTGTCGTCAAATTTGATTCAGGTAAGAAATATTTTTGGATACCAACGGTTTATTAGAAATGACTTTAGAATATTTTGTTTAAATAGATATTTAAAAAAGTGTGTTTAAAAATCATATAATATACAACAATTTTAACGACAATTGTTCTTTCTCGTAATTATGAAACTGTTGGCCTATTTAGCTCCGGGGTCATAAAAAATATAATAAGCGGGCTACATCAGATTTAATAATGTCATTCTCTAAAGGTTTGAAAATGTTTTCAAGAAATATGTAGAGTCAAAGGGCTATGACAGTAAATGTATGCACAACACAGACACATGTTTATTTGTTTAAGACTTTGGATAATAACAACTTGGCATTTCTTTCCACTCTACAAGAGTTAGACTTAAGCCGAAATAGTCTAACCAATATTGCTCCTGGGACATTTCTGGGGCTGAAGAATTTACAAAAACTGGACATAAGTGTGAATTCGTTAAGAATGGTAAGCATTTTTTGTTAGATACTCGTATTTCATCTCAAGTAATATCCATAAAGTTGAAGCGGTGAGCAAATAAACATGATAAGACTCAATCCTTAAACGTATAACTGAAAAAAATGATCGAAATCGTAATTATATTGAATTAAAATAAATTTAATTCTTAAAAACGACTTAACAGATTTGGATAAAGCACCAGTAAATCTATGTGCCTTTCCTTAGCAGCGATACCTATTCTATCGCTTGGTTTAGAACACGTACATATATGTACGTGTTCTAAACCAAGCAATAGAATGTGGTGGTTGTGGTGTGCTAAACTGCCTGGGTAACAATGTATTGAGTTGAATGAATATCGACCTAAAAAAGTGAAGAAACCACAGTTTCCAACAGTTTTCCAAATAAATGATGATAAACTTTCGCTTTTTCAGTTCGGCGAAATATTTTTGGAAAAATACCCAGAATGAATTATTAGGGTTTTATCCATGATTCAAAGCTGCAAAAAGTTTTCCAAAAATGTTGGCAAAGCGGTTAAGGAGGCGAGTGTTCAAATAAAATCTATCCTATAATTTGTTACAGAAAATACCTGAAAATTGTCAGTATTCTAACTAAATAATAATGCATTTTTTGCGTAGAAAGAATTGCTTAATAGCAACTTTGTTAACACTAGAATGACCTGAAAATTTAAAGCAACTTAAATATTTTCACAGCGATGTTGCCGGCGAATTTTTAAAAAAATAATTTGTAAATTTTTGCTCCTTGGCCGTTTTTCAAGATAATCTTAATTACTTTCGGTAAAAAATTGAATAACATTATTTGATTTTTTGTGCCAAATTCGAAGCTGAAAAGGGTTTTTAAAAGTTCCCTGCAAACCGATGCATGAAGCGAATTTTCTAGCCAAATTAGTTTTGTAATTTTTGGGTGAAAAGACCCCATTATTGTCAGTAAAGAAGGAAATCATCAGAAAATAATGGTTTTTTGCGTTTTTGGTTAAAAACTTTTAGTTTTGTGATCGGTTTTGGAGAAAACCCTAATGGTTTTCGGGCAAAAAACGGGATAAAATTATTTTTGCTTTTGTCTCGAATTCGACGCTGAAAAGTTTTTGTAAAAGTTTTACAAAGTTATGCATTTATCTTGTAGTTTTTCTATAAAAGCTTTTCAGGTCGTCAGTTTCAAGTATTTTTAAGTGAAACCCAACAAAATAGAGCATTTTTGAGTAGAATATAAAGCAAAAAAAATTCAGTCAAACCACATTTTTTTAACAAACTCTACAGTCTTCACAGGAATTGAAGTGACGAGAATTCCAAATAATCTGTTATAAACTTTCGCTTATTCTGTTAATTTTAAAACTTTTTACAAACACATATTTGAACTTCATTTAGGTAACTAAGAATTGTTCGTATATTCTGCAGTGCTGCTGAAGGCACACAGTGTGAATTTTTGTTGTACGTAAACCAAAGATATATCAAAATAGATACATAGCAATATATAGCAAAAAGTTTGAAATACTCTATTTCCTCATGAATGCCGGCTGTGGAAATTATTTTTAGGTCTTACGTATATTCTTCCCTTATTCCACATTAAGTCAAGTGTACTGTCTCCAAATTTCATCTAAATTAGTTGGCCATATTTTGCCCGAAAATTGGTATGGAAAATAAATTTTCCTGTCCTGAATTGATCTTTCCGATGGGTTCTCCTGCATAGTAGAAGAAATAATTCTCTTATATTTTGTCTTCCCGATCCACTTCACCTTATCACCTTATCTAATTTACTTTCAGTATGTCGCTATAAAAGCTACTTATATGGGCCGCAGTGTTTATAATTTCCCGAGCATGAATAAACTTTGTATCGGTGGTTTTTCAGTGGGATAAAGTCCATTATTTCCGATGGTGTTGAACTTTCGAAAAATAATTTCATATAAAAGTTGTCGACGCACAACGTGCGCACATTTTCAAAATATCTTGTATTATACAGAGTGTCTCAGAAAAGCGAGGCAAAATCAAAGTGTATTTTTTTAAATAGAACCACCAATTTTTCATTAGCCCATGGAATGCCGCTTAAAACGCTGCAGCAGTTAGAGATACAAGAAAATATGTCTTTCCAATCACCACAGATCCGTTAAGAATTCTATTGAACCAAAATATCAATACTTTGTACAGGGTGTTAACAATGTGTTCTTCAATCTAAAACTTTTTAACCCAATATAACTTTTGTTCTTCAAATGGGAGGCAAAGCAGTTGTGGAGGCCCACTAACTGCTTTGCGGTATGGAGCGCGGTGTCTCCTCCCAGTACTTTCTGTGTTGTTCCAAGATCCACTGCCCAACTGGCACCCTAACTTGAGCATGAAATATATCACAAGCAGGTTCTTGGTTGGTCATTGGTTTCTCGGTCCCTGCCTTAGCAAGTTCCGCAGCAATCTCGTTTTCTTTGCTCCTGTTCGTACCAGTTGCCCAAGTGAGTTTTACTCTGTTTG